GAGTGGTTTTGGGATCTCAGGGGGATGGATGCTGCGAATGAGAGCCCAATTAATACCTTCAAAGAAAGGATGTTGTTTGATCTCCGTGGCTCCTCTCTTGAATCCAAGTCTCTTCTGCGGGTCCTTCACGAGCAATCCTCTTATCAAATCCTTCGCAGCAAAACTGATGCTTGATCCCTCAGGAAACTTAAGACTCTGACCCACAACATTGAACAACGTTTCTCGATTCCCATTGCCTTTAAATGGGGTCCTCCCAAACAACAATTCATACAGGAAAATACCAAATGTCCACCAATCCACTGCACTTCCATGACCATCACCTCTTATAATTTCAGGAGCTAGATATTCATGAGTCCCAACAAATGACATAGAGCGAGCATTAGTTGGTTCCGCAATTAGCATTGGGAATGAGTCTGAATTCGCTGAACTGTGCTTTTCACTCTTTCGTTTGGTCTTTTTTGAGTTGAAGAAACGCGGCTTGAAGCAAGATGGCTGCAAGCACGAAGGCTCCACGCAAACGGGTAATTTGCAGGGTGGATCGATGCATGAAGATGGCTGGATGCAGTAGGAGGATATCTGACAAGATGGTTCTTTGCTGGACTGAACAAGTGTGGGACTTACACAGCATCTTAATGACAAGTCAAAATCAGAGAGCATGATATGCCCATCTTCTCTTACCAGTACATTTTCTGGCTTCAAGTCTCTGTACACCACTCCCATCATGTGTAGATACTCCAGAGCGAGAAGCACTTCAGAAGCGTAAAATCTGCAAAAAGAAAACGAAGCAATGGGAAATCAGGTTCAAAAACTTTGAGCCTAAAACTAAAAGCATTCCAGTGTAAGTAGAAGTTGACAACCGCACTGTGAGAACCAAAACCTTTGATTTCCAGACAATCAGTTACTACATGCTAAATCATGCAAATAGCAAAACATCAACATCAGGCGGTGACTAAAATAACTAGTAATGATTGGCTACAGGATCGAGCTGCTTTTACTGAAGAGTCTGCTGTTCCTGTTCTAAAAGCAATGGATTATGCAGGAGAGCTGTGATGAACCAACCAGTGAAATAAACCTATATGTCCTTCCCCAGCTTGATGCCTCTTACTCATAAAAGATGAGAGAAATAGAAGCTTAAAAAAATTAACCAAGAAAAAAGGCATACTTCTTTGGACTATGGAACACATTTCCCTTCCAATCTTCAACCTAGTCTTTCTAACAGAACACTCTGCTCTTCAACAACACGAAGCTTGATTGATTCTTCACATCATTAAGAAGCAAAGTAAACAGGATAAGGAGCATTAGTGTTAAGTAATTGTGCTATTATACTAACCTGGCAGCTTGCTCTGTGAAATGCTTGCCTTGCTGCCGCTGGCGGAGGGTATGGAGATCCCCACCACTGCAAAACTCCATGAGCAAGCAAGAGAACTTCTCAGTCTCAAAATGAGAATAAAGGGAGGGAAGGAAAGGATGGTCCAATAAACCCAAAATGTCTCTCTCAGTCTGAGCTCTGGCCAATTTCTTCCTTCCAGCCAACGTGCCCTTATCCATAACCTTCATCGCAAACAAACAACCCATCCCTCTGAGCTCAGCCAAATACACACTCCCAATATCCCCAAAACCCAGCTTTTTCAACAGTCTGAAATGCCCCAACCCCAATTCCCCATCTTTCCCCTTCACACATTGTATCGCGTCCCACCTTATGTCGCTGCCCTTGTGAGGCTTCGAAGGGCTAGTGCTCCTAAAACTACCCTCGCTGGCTTCGCAATCCGTCATAGATTCAGTGCTCCTCTGAGTCTCAACGTTGCTACAACTACTACACATACTAATACTCGCACTGCCACTAACATTGAGGTCCCGGAGGCTGCCAGCAATAGCAGATTCAGCATCATTGTGGTCAGCATTCTCGGGTGGAGGCTTGTCCATGGATCTGCGAAGGGTTCGTTCAATGGAGGAAGTGAGAGAGACACAGAGGAAGGTTTGGTTAAAAGCGGCTTCGGTCAAGTTGGTGGGGGTGTGTGACCGAGGCGGTCAAAGAGAGAGCGAGTGGGACGCGGGCGCGAAGGAGCTGAACATGGGGACCCAAAAGGAAGGGTAAAAATTAATAACTTAAAAAAAAAAAACACACACACACACACGCACACACGAGTTCAAATTTGAAATGTGAAGGAGATGACTGAGATGAGATGATAGTATTGGATTGATGATACACCCGATGACTGTGTTGGGCTTTGAGACCGTCTCTCTTGCACAGTGCCAGAAAGTGTTACAGCTTAAGGACAAAAAATTACAGAGCAAGGGAGGGAGGGAGTGAGAGTGACCCTAATTACGAGGACGGCAAAAAAAAAAAAAAAGCGCCCTTCGGATTAAAAAAATGCTGCACTCTCACTCAGTCATTCAACCATTCGATACCGTTTCTTCTGGGTGTAGGCTAGGCGGAATTTGAAGCTCCTCCGCGACGCACATGACAACGGGGTTTATATTTTATTAACAGTGAATCGTGACCGTCCAGTGTCTAAGGATATGATCATCCCGGTTTGGTTGCGATAATGCAGCGCAGGGAACTCGCTCCAAACTCCAAAGCGCAGCTTTTTATTTATTTATTTATTACTTTAAGTCACAGGCACAGGGTGTAACCGAGAACGGAAGCAAAATACTCTACTGAAATAGAGTAATAGTTTAAAAATGCATGAATTTTGATTCCGTTGGATATTCCCGAGAACCACACATATCATACTATAGGGGTTAGTAAATTTGGACCCACCATAACAAAACTTGTCATGAATCAAGAAAAACAAATGGAGAAAGTCGTGAATCTCTGCACTTGCTGTGCTCTGAGTTTTGTTTTGATAAACTTCAACCTATTTATTGCGAAATAAAAAACTCAGTTGGCAACACATGTAAACCAGTTACTTTTACATTCGTAGCAATACTGCTTCGATAACTAGAAACATGAAACTTCATACGTTGCATCTTAGATGACGATCCCCTTTTTTTATTTGCTGTGCTCCCTCCCTCCACCCTATCCATGCGTGAATTTAGAGAGTCTCGCTTTTTTTGAATCTCAAATGTAAGAGACTAGGTCCGTTTGCTTATTCAAAAAAAAAAAATTGAATGGATTAAAAAATATAAAAATAATATGATCAAGAGATAGGGTAGCAAATTCATAAAGGGGAGGGATAATTCATTTTATAAAGTCGAGACTCATGATTTATAATATTTTTAAAGATTGTGATGATTTTCATATTTATAATATATATTAATAAATTGAAAAAACATAACTTTATATTCTTATATTTTATTCACATTTTACTATTGATTCTTATATTTTTTTATATTTTTAGTTCCTATACTTTTATTTTTTATTATTTTAGATCCCTTTAAAGTCTCTATATTTTGTTTATAAAAGAACTTAAAATAATAAAAAATAAAAATATAGGAATTAAAAATATAAAAAAATACAAAGATTAATAGCAAAACGTGAACAAAGTACAGTGAACTAAAGTTGTGTTTTTCCTAATGAATTTTATCGCGCTTATCATAAGAGAAAGGGTGATTTAATTTATTTTTATCTTGATTTTTTCAATCCATTCAATTTCATTCATTTTTAATGACCAATCAGGACCTAACGATCCATGTTTTCTTCATTTACTAAAAAGTTTATCTCATACCTTACATTAAAAGTAAATTAGTTTCAGGGTAAGGCTAAATATTTGGCATGTTAGCTCTCAGCCAGTTTCCTTTATCTTCGTATATTCATTTCTTACCTATAGGATCAAAAGGGTATTTTTTTTAACATTTAATGTAAAAGAATTCCAGTTGCCTTGTCATAATTTAGCTGGAGTATGCCAAATCATGGCTGGAATAAAAAATTGTAAAGTTCTTTTACTTTTTGGTTTAATTCTTGAATTTTAATTCAGTACAATCTAATTCTCGTAATTTATTGAGTTGATGAATTATAAAAATTGAGTGTGTAATTTATATCTTAAAAGGTAGAGGTTGAAATCCACGTTGATGCGAATGGCCAGTAATAAATTGTGAGTCTTTATGTAAGTTCTTTTGCAAACCGTGAAATATATCTTAATCCTAATAAACTATGAAACCAGACGCAACTTAATTTTTCCCCTTGCTTGACAAAGTCTAACTAGTATCTCGTAGGTCATGTTAGAATAGCTCGTAGCCGGAGGTGAAGTGTAATACATAAATCAAATTCATTGTCTGTGGCCTTGTGCCACAGTGGCACGAATACCCTCCCCAGGGTGTAGGTTCACGCCCAGACTGCGCAATTTGCGGCAGGGTGTGTGAGTTTCCTTTTCACTGAGAATGAGTGTAAATATGGCTGGGTGAGTGGGTATATTTGGGTAATTGTCTCCCTACCAAAAAAATAAAACCAAATTCATTTATACAATATCAACTATATATATAAAATTAGTCATTTAACATTATGAAATGTAAAATCTACCTATCTACATGTATCTATCAATCAATCAATTAATATTTTGTTCCACGGATTAATAAATATTAATCCATTAACGTTTTGAATTTATCAGTCGATTGTAATGATTTTAACTAATGCATATGCGGAAAAAAGTTTTAAAAATACACACACGCACAGGCACACGATATCATAAGTTTCCCTGATTTCATTTCACGGATTAATGTCATCGATCGAATGATTCACTTTTGACCTCATCGTGGAGTCAGTCGATCGATTGTTCACCTCGTAATAAAGCAAAAGCCTCGCACTGCCTCATTCTGGTGTGCACGCGTCAACTTCTGTGCTGCCCCTTCCCTTATCTTGGGTCTGATAGCTATAAACACAAGCAATGACAATGCTTGAAGGCCAACATAACCATCATCAATTCGCTCTTCTTCCTTTTCCCCAAAGAATATCCTCACCAAATTAATCTTAAAGTACACTTAAAGAAAAAACTCAGCTTACTTCTTGACTGTCTGCTATATATACACGCACCCCCAATTGCCATTAACTAAATTGCGTTAATCAGAATCAGATAGTGCAATGCCGTTGCCCCAGTCCATTGCTGCTTTCTTGATCTTCATAACATGGCTTTCCATTTTACATGGTATTTGAATTCCAAACTATTCGATCATCTCTTGCAGCGCTTATATAGAAGTTAGTTCATGGATACTTTACATGTATACATACATCAAGTGGGAGATAAGAATATATGTGCAGATTAGTGTGATCCTCAAAATATTTATTGCTTGTACGTGTTGTGTGTGTGGGTGTATACAGGTCATATAGCGGGGGCACACGTTGTCGTGTTCTACGTACATAACAAATGCTCATTTCCAATATGGCCGGCGACTGCACCGAACAATGGCCAGCCAGTCATAGCCGAGGGTGGATTCTACCTTCCTCCGGGTGAGACCCACCGCATCGTGGCTCCATGGTCATGGAGCGGCCGTATCTGGGCCCGAACCGGCTGCAACTTTGACGGTAACTGGAAACCCGCCTGCGAAACTGGAGATTGCGACGGAAGGCTAGCCTGCAACGGCCTTATAGGCACTCCTCCGGTAACACTAGTCCAAGTGTCGCTTCAAGGTGACAAAGGCAAGCCCAATTTCTACGACGTGAGCCTCGTGGACGGCTATAACATCCCTGTCTCGATCACGTCAAGAGTAATGAACCCGAAATGCACCATCCAGGGGTGCTCGAAAGATCTCAGGAGGTGGTGCCCGCCGGAGCTTGCGGTGTTGAACTATGAAGGAGAGGTCGTGGCGTGCAAGAGCGCTTGCTTGGCCTTTGAGAACGACAGGTTCTGCTGCAGAAACGAATTTGGGAGGCCGGAGAAATGCAAGCCCAACGTGTACTCCAACATTTTCAAAGAAGCATGTCCATTTTATTATAGCTACGCCTTCGATGATCCTCCTCCGTTAGCGAGCTGTGCGTCGTCTGAGTATATCGTAACGTTCTGTCCTTCAGGGTGGGGTTCCCAGGAGCAATCTCACGACATCATTTCTACGTAGAAATTGACTTCTTCTTGCTTGAATTTATCGATACCAGGCAACAATAACGGTTTACTGTTGAATTCTGTTGGCAATTTGGCATGTTGTTTATTATTTGTACGAGGCGTGAATCTCTCCCACCAGCGTACACAAAAAGCGGGCAAGACTAGGTTAGTTATTAGCCCGACGTCAAACCCTGCATACTAAGACCAAGCCCAGGCCAATTTGGTATAAAAAAATGAGTTAAGGTATAATTTTATTTTTAAATTATTTTTAAATAAGTAATATTATTTTTAAATTATTTATTGTAGTAATATTATCCTCGTCATTTAAACCTCCATTATTATAGTTGATGGGATCATTTTTTGTGAATTAAGTTAGTAATTTTATTTTTAAATTATTTCAGAATGACAATTTGCCCTCATTGTTTTAAAAATCATAAATATCCATTAACTTTAACCAATAAAACCACCTTTCATTATCTTTCTCTAGCAATAATTTAAAAACCAAATTCAACAAGATAGTCAAACGGTCAACCGGAGCTAGGGGTGTTCAACCAAACCGTTGATCTAGTAGGCCGATTTTTACTTGATTTCAGATCTCTAGTTTAGTCCAAATTTAGTCTCGTTTACCTCGCTGTGTGTATGTTATTACAAATTTTTATTAGTTTTAATTGATTTTATGATTTTTTTTCTTTCATTGATGGTACTTAATAAATTACCTAGTTGTTAACTCCTATCTTGATGCTTCATATAAGTTGAAGAGATGTCAAGGTCCCGAACATTCTTTGATATATTATTCGAGGATTTTGTGCGTAATTGGATGGACTAGCAGTAGCACCTCTGCTAACGATGACGTTTTTACATCTACACATCTATACAAGTTCATATTATTCGTAAGTTAATTAGCATGTTAATTTCTTGATCCTTACTGTGTCACTCTAGAATTATATGCAATTGTCTTGGAAAAAAATTCATAGAATTCCAACATGTTTTTTTTTGTTGAAAAAAAACCTTTGACATTCCAATTGAAATTTTTCTTCACATTATTTTTCAATGCATTTTTTTATTCAAATATTTTTAGCAAATTTGAAATTAGCTTTTTCTATCATAAACATCTTTTCTGTAACCCATTCTCTCTCACGCATAGTCATGAAATCTTGGTCACCTCCCTTTTATTGCATGAAGTTCAAGATATATAATACTCATTAGACCTTTTTAATCGTTAATTAAAATAATAATATTTTTATTCAAAGACGCAGGAGATTTTTCTCTTCATACTTATGTTCCTTTTTATAAAAAATTAGACACACTCAGTTTTTCATTACCAAGAAAAGTAAGTAAATCTAATTATTAGCCCTATAGAGAAACTGATCAAGTGGGCTCATTTATCATATTTTCTCTTTAATAGTTCCAGAATTGCATACCCAAAAATTTCTTATAAATATGAAGGGAGTGAGTATAAAATACCAAAATTTCCCATCCAATTTCATTTAACTTTAATATTGCCTGGTATAAGTTGGCAGAGACTAGAGAATGTAAAATCAGACAATAAAAATGTGCTACGAGCAAGAAAGTTTCACCACCGGCCCAAATAAATAAGCCCTTTCTTACTTCAATACAGCACCAGCGGCCCGGTAAGTAAAAAAACTAATCCTTTCTTCCATCGTCATTTTGCCGATTCCAAGGCTAAGAATACCATCAAGCATGGTGTGTGTTTAATTTTTAATTTATTAAAAGTTAATTTGATAAAAATTTAATTAGCAGAAATCAGTTAAGTGGAAGTTAATTATTACAATAAAATTTATATTTTGATACGTTTTTTTAAAAATCAGTTTGACAAAATAAAAATTATTTAGATTAATAAAAATGCATGCTTTTAAAATATATTTTTAGATATACAATGACTAGAAAGGTATTTATTTATAAAAAAGTACAAATTTTTTATCATACACCTATAATATATTAAAAATGTTTAAAAAATATCAAAAGAATTAAAATAGCATAAAATTTAAGATGTTAAATAATAAGAATACAAAATATATAATTTAATATTGAAAAAATTGTGTAATAAATAGTTCAACATTCATTGATATTAAATAATTACATGATTAACGATCCGATCTATAATATACAATTTGATTTCTAATAGAATTTTAAACTCTATTCGTCTCTCTATCAGAAATCACCTTCAAAAGTGCATTTAAAATTGATGATAAAAATGCATGCTCATCATTATCATAATTAGTGTCTAAAGTTATGTGGACCCAAGGGTATCATGGTCATTTAAAAAATTAGGTATCTAATTATTCTCTTCATAATTGCTCCTAACTTATTTAACATTTGAAATGAACTTTGAAATTCACTAAAAAATAAAATTTCAAAATCTACAATTCAAACCCATTTCAACCAACTTTTAAAAAGTTATGTTCCTCCCTAAAAAATTACTCAAATAACTTTTAACATCTCAAAAGTTTAAATATTCATTTTAAATGTTAAATGGGTAAAAACCAAATGCACCCTTAGTCTGTTTTAATATTTTTGATTATTAAATATTATTATTTTAATCAAATCATAAACTTTTATTTTTATCTAATTTTATAATAGTAAAGTAATATTAGCCAACCTCATGGTTCTCAAGAAATAATAGTTAACATCTTAGTAATTTTGTTAAAAAAAGTTGACTTTTCAATTATACCTTTCATTAAAATTAACGATCACTTTAAAATTTGTCTATGAATTACTCCTTTTATATATATATATATATAAATTACATCACATAATTTAAGAAAAATAATTAATTATAATAATTATATTTAAAAATAAAATAAATTGATTAAAATATCCTGTGTTAATCAACATAAGCATGCATAAATTATTTTTGTTAATATAAATTATGAGGGATGATTTAAAAAATGTATAATAAATACTAATTAAAATAAGTGATTTTACTTATAAAAAAATATAAATCAAAAGTGATAGTTTTTTAATAATAAAAAAAAATGAAAAAAAGTATAATTTAAAGCAATTAAAAATGGATAATATCAAAAAAAATCATTAAATCTTTGCTTTATATTTATAATTTTTTATTTTGGACCAGCGGCCTTATATTCATAATCGAATGGAGTTTTAAATGAACTATTGATCATTGGGCTTCTTTTTGACCCAAAAAGATCGTTTTTTAGCGGTTGCGAGCTTCCGTTTCAATTAGGGTTTCCATGCTCGAGCCTCTAGACACTTCGCCTCCTAAAGCGGCAGCTGCTATATACGTGGCTTCAGCATTCAGAGCAGTTGCGTCCGAGCTCACCTCCAGCTGACCTCTGACTCTTTTTGCTCGTTCATGTTTCAGATATCTTATTCCTGTGTGGTGTTTTCTTCGTAAAGCATCTCATCTTCTCTTTGTTGTGATGTTTATTCGAGTTTCGGTTTCTACTTATGCCTCTAGAAAATTGAATCACAATCTCTGATGAGAAAACTGCAACAATATGATGGATAAACTCCATGATTCGTTGTATTTAAGTCTCTGATGATTGGTTTATCTCTATTTTTCTTTTTTGTTTTAAATTCTTCTCTATTTCTACTGAAAAACTTCGTAAATCTCCACCGAAGAGATATGATGATTTATATATTGGTCCGTGTTTCTGAATCACCGTGACCGACAACTACATAACCATTTTCTGATCTCTCTCTGCAAACGTTCCTTCTTTGTTGGCTCTTTCATCAATTTCCTTTTTGTTAGTTGTCAGTGAAGAAATTCTGAGATCCTCAGCGGCCGGTGCTCTGTGATTACTTGCCTTTGGCAATATACGCTATTCCGATTCAGAAATGAGCGGAAAGTTTTTTAGTTACTAATGAGCGCAGCGGCTACCTTGGTTACTCGACTTTTGGAAAAAAATTGTTATACATATATGTTTGATTCATCTAATCTTTTTTTTTTTAAATGAAATTTCTGATATATTGTTCCAATCGTGCTGTTTTTCTATTTGGCGGCGGTGATGAATTTAGAATGAACTCACATGTCAGACTTCGGAGATTTTCTAAATCAATGAGATTGACCATTCTAAATTTACTGAGCTTAAGTCTGTGTATTTATCTTTGAATTTAACTAGACATATTTGAATATGAATTTTCCTAAGAAAGATTTGTTGATGATGGGGATCCATTCTAGTGGGATAGTAGTGTTCCATTGTAGCTAACTATTCTGCCGTGATGAATTTAGAATCAATTCACATGTCAGACTTCAGAGATTTTCAAAATCAATGAGAATGACAATTCTAAATTTGCTGAGCAGAATTTTGATTCCCCTCCTTGTAAAAAGTAGTGATGGCAAGAGCTTCCTGAGGAATCTCATGTGCTTTGAAGTGTCGAGTAGATTTCCAATAAAAGCTGCTGGATTTGTCTGCTGGTTGGATTCGCATGCTACTTCAAATTTTAAACACAATTTAGGTCAGATGTGCACCAGGATGTTTTAAATTTATATATTATTTTATATTTATTAAAATAAAAAATTATAAAAACTATTTAAAAATTTTTTATATGGTATACATTTAATTTGATTCGTTTAAATTTAATATTAAAAATTCTTATAAATTAAAAATCTTGATTTGTGATGAACACTGAAATGAAAAGGGGGGTGTATGATAGAATTGTATGAGCTAAATCCATAACGCGCACAACTAATACCAACCACTACCACATTATTGTCACGATGTCTGGATGCCCTCTAAAAAGTAACTAGAGGTATAAGAAGATGGAACATCGTCTCTAAAAAGTAACTAGAGGTATAAGAAGATGGAACAACGTCCTCCAACGTCATTATGCACTGTGGCCCATTCCCCTACAGTAGTTGTGAGAAGTGGAGGTCATAGTTCAGACTACAGCATTCATGGCTGCATGATACTTGTTAAATCACCTTTGCCACTCTCCATTAAGCCATCACTGACATTAACCAAAGATTATTTATCTGTGAGCATATCATATAGCACTTTGAGATGAAGGGCCGATTGCAATGGCTTCTTAAGCTGAATCTCTTTGGCCGTGCACTTGAGAAAGTAAACACTTTGATCTAAATTATAAATCCTGGAAATTCTAATTTTGGTTGAGAAACATTTCTAATTATTTATACTTAATGAAACAAGAGTGTGTAAATCCTTGTTGGAGTTATTATGCACAAACTTTCACATTTGATTTTTTTTAAAGAAAAACGTAACTTTAGATTTTTATGCGTTTTATTATTGGTCCGGTGTTTTTAACTTCTATACTCTTATTTTTTATTGTTTTAGGTCTAAAACAAAAGTACATAAATCAAAAACACTGAAAATAAGTATAAAAATTAATAATAAAATGTGAGCAAAATATAAAGATCTAAAATTATATTTTCTTTTTCAAATAAAAAGATCAATAATAACTTTCACATTAGATTTAAAGTACAGCTTGGATGGCTAATACTACAAATATCAAATCATGTGACAAGACTTGGTCTCGGCTTCAAGGCATTTTTGCATTTGAGGGTTGCATTTATACAAAAACTCATGAAATTTTTCTATGGCAAGAAATGTAAACTGCAAAATCCCTGCTTCTGGGGTTGGGTAATTTCAGGCAATTGATATACTGCTGATTACTCAACTACAGCCAACAATGCTATTCAGTGATTGAAATCTACCGTGATGACCTGGGTATTTCATCATGCCAGACGACTTAAAAAGTAATCTCCAAATGCCTAGATTTTGGGCATTTTAAAGTACTGCAACAAGAGAAACAAGTAGTTTACAATCTAATTTCATTCTTTTTTACACGCACAAATACATGTATAACTCACTAAAATTAAACGAAGGGCGTGTTTTATTTTATTTTTATAAGGAAAACAAGCATGAATCTTTTGGTGGTTGCCAACATGTTCAGATCAATTGAAAAACTTTTGAAATCATTTGTAGGGTTCAATGGTTCATGCTGGGGACTTTCAATTGGGAATTTAAAAATTGGTGTCAGCATTGTAAAAAGAATCTCAGAACCTTATGTCGTAGAGTTCTTGTCCCTCTTTAACTTTATGTGAACTTTAAATCCTTTTTATATTTTGTTTTGTACTGATTTCAAAAGAAAATAAGAATCTTGAATTAATTATAGTCAAGAGCAGGCATTATATTCCCTCAGAAGTCAAAACTCTTGGTCATATATCGATATCAATGGTCTACTTTCTCATTTTGCAGTTTTAGCATCAAATTTGACATAAGTGTGTCTTTCAACTGATATCTCCTTCACCGATTACATCCACTAATACACGCTATTCTTCTTCTTGTTTTTTTTTTTAATTGAAAGGGCAAGCACAAAGCTTGAAAATAGAAAGATTAGTATAGGCTACATTCAGCCCATCCTGATGCAGATAAATGACACAACCAATAGGGGGCTTTAGGAATAAAAGTGATTGCAGGTCCAAAGCCGTGACCTTCTTGAACCAAAAGGTCAATAGATTGTAATACTTCTCTATAAGCGTGATGCATTTCCACATCAATATTATCATAAACCAGCTCTCGAACAGTATGGATCACTACTCTACGGGGATGATTAGGTCCACCATCTCTTAGAATCATGTGAATTGCCCGTAAGGAATCAAAGTAGAGTCGTATCCTAGAGTATCCAAGTTGCTTGCAAGCGGTCAAACCTGTGTGGATAGCTAACATCTCTGCAATGGTTACCAGAACATCACCAATTTCATGGTTGAAGGCATGTAACCATTCCCCTTTGGAGTTTCTTATCAAGCTCCACAAGCAGCATGGTTCCATAGGTTAATGGAGGCAACTACATCAACTCTAACAAAGTCATCTAGTAGCGGATGCCAAGTGTGCTTGCTTGAGACATTTTCAAGAAAAATGATGTGAAAAATGTTGCATATTGGTTTGTATTAATCAAACATTTCCCCATCTCTTGCCAGTGGGCACTCATGGAGTGTATGAATTACACTCTCCCCACTTTTGCACTCGAAAGGATAATCTCTTATGAGAGGAAGATCCTATATTAGCTTTGAGAGAGTTTGTGGGGAGTTTTCCTTAAAAAGCCTGACAAAGTAAGAACTTGAAATTTTCTGGGATACATCAGCTCCTAATACACGCTCTTCTATATTAGGACTAGGACCAACTTCTGATGCCATAAGCAGGATGATGTAAAGTGTAAATCAATTTTAATGGGCAGATAACAATCGGTTCATTTGATTTCTCAGTAAAATCATTTCGATGATTATTTATATTCTTCTTGTTTTGTTTTTTTAATGACAAGAGAAGAGACAAACTAGGGGACCGATAATAGGAAAGATCAGATCCCCAAAAAAAAAAAAAACAATCATATAGAAGATCTAGTGACAGTGTAGCAACCATAAGTTGCAGTTGCAAGAAACTATAAAAGATATATAGCACTTCATCATAAATATATGGCATGCGAGCTAACAAGATGTCTGTTGGGTACAATTTATATGGTATAATATAAATATAAAATCATCGTAGATTCTTAGCTTCATCTATTGGTTGTCCGACGAAGACTATGAATTGATAGATGATCAATATGATAATGTTGTGGTTGTCTCTGTTCCACTACCATCCCCTGTTTTTAGCTTGCCTTTGCCCTCTTTGACAACGTATTGAAGGAAATATATTGCCCTTTCAAATTTTAATGGCAGGAAGTTGATTGTTTGAAGTTTCTTTTAAATCGATTGGACAATGATGACATCTTCGTTAAAAGAAGATTCGACGGCGATCGCATTTTAGAGGTCAGATGGTGAGAATTGTCGTGAATGATAAAGGTAATAATTATATTACTGGTGTAGAAAACGAAAACAATATAAGGGCCTTCTAAGATTTAACAGAAACTTCAACTCCAATTTATTTTGATATTCAACTAATAATTAATTGTTCTTTTTATCAAAAGAAAAATAAAGTGATGACTTCATCCCCTTCGAGTCTTGTGTTTGATTCCCCCAAAATATATGAGCAAGAAATGTATGAATCATGTCACAAAGGCATCACCTTTCCACCATAACCCACGCAAGCGCGCATGGTTTTACATATTCTATTTGGATATGGATCATGTGCGGTAATAAAGTGTGCAGTGGCTGCGAGGTAAAACATCCTGACGGTAAGTTTTGATCTAACGGCTGGTAAGAGATAAATGTATGAAAAAGCTTTTCATTTACAAAACACACAATCATACTTTATTTAAAATAAAAATTTATAAAAAATTATAATATTTTTAATAAATATGTTAATCACTGATTTAGACAATATAAATTTTATCTAGATAGTTCAGTTTAATATTATTTTTTTATTTTTTAATGATTTAACTATTTAGATATACTTTGAATAGTTTAAATTTGAATATTAATTTTTTTATAATCTATAATATTAATAATAAGATAGAGGAGTATCTTATTTTAACAATATTTTTTAATAAAAAGGCTAATAACCTCTAAATGAGGAGATATGACCATTTAAAAAAAATATTTTTTTTTTGGCAAATGAGGAGCTTTTTTATACATCTATCTCTAATCAGTTATTAGATCAAAACTTATAGTCAGGATATTTTACTTTCCAACCACTGCACACTTTATTACTGCACATGATTCATATCCATTCTATTTCCCTTTCAGCCTGAAGCACTATTAGTTAAATGCAAGCCTATCACAAAGAAATATCTACTTCATCTAATTAAATTCCTCATGCATGAACTTACCATCTTGTCTCCTAGTAATATGTACCCAAACAAACGCATCAATAAAAAACATTGAATATGTGAGTTTGCTTAAATCCCTTTGCTCGATCAAGTAACTTTGTCATTGTCCTACACAACCTTTCGATGGAGCAGCCGGCTCTAAATTGTGTCGGAAAGTGCCAAATATCTTGTATAGTTTAGTTGACTCTTCCTTTAACTCAGCGGCTAAGGAAGCTCAAATCAATGAAGCCTCGTCTTGACAATTGGGTGTCACATTTCACACACGAACCGCACGCTTCTGGCTGGCTCGGGCCCATCACCTATTCACCGACCTAAAGGAATGAAGACAAAAACTCACAGTCATTTTTGATTTATTTATATATTTTCGTAATTTTATTTCCGACACAAGGATAGATAAACGCAGTGATAAGGGAAGCAGTGTCTAATGAACGCGCAGTCGCGTATCCCTCTTCTCCTATATATCTCTGGATGCGGCATCGAGAGAAAGAAACAGGGATTGAAAGATGAAATCTGGAGAAATGTTTGCTTCAGTAGGATCCATAATCGCTTCCTTCATGTTCGTCTGGGCTATGTTTCAAC